AAATCAAACAACAGTCCTGCTTAATCCCTGCCGAAGAAACGTCTAGTTCTGTTGACATCTAGCGGTATTTAATCCACTAGCTTCGCAAAGACGGGACCCAAATAATGCCCGCTATGGGGCAGTGAAACTGTATCGTTCATGATGGCACCACTGCGAGCACACGTACTAATAGAAAAGTACCTATATATTAATACTAAACTGTTCCCAATAAACACTGCTCTGATATAGCGACCGATCGATGTTACAACCGCTACTGCTGCTGCCACTGGGAAAACACCGATCAATTCAACTGTTACATATAAATATCGAAGGGTAATTTATTGATTTATCCTATCAGACCCTCGATTTAGGTAGATGCTTGATCCGAGAATCATGAATATCATTCGCTCGGAAATCTAGACCCACTTGGGTTTTTCAAAGACATCCCGACATCGAATTGTTCACGATGTGCCCATGTGCATCTTCACTAAGCATCATTGGTGGACGGACTAATCAGTAAACATAACGTGAAATTACAATCGCAGATTCAAAATACGTTGTCGGTACACTACCGAGCTGTATCGCGCACAGATTAAGGAACGCGTTCCTTATATATTTGCTAGCTTAGGAACCAGTCTAGGACATATCTTTACACATGCATAAATATACGGTGCGTTTATAGAGACCTATTTCCCTTAGTCGATGTTGACTGCTAGTAATAAGGAATACTATAGCAGGATTTGTCTATAGCCATTATTGTCCAGTACCTATTGATACCTAAAACGCTGCGTTCAAGCTGGCAGCTCCTGTTGTGGCAAATGAACGCTCGTTCGTCACAGGCGACCCATCGCTATACGCTGGATTGAATTTAGCTAGAATAATCTATGCAATCGTACATAGAACTTGTTTCACAAAAAACGAACTACCTCCGCCATCTCCTACTGTTACGTTACGCATTCGATCATGCCATCAGTATATCCATTTGTTAACTATTGCACCGAAGCATCTGAATGCTCCAGCCGTGTGATGGCTATAAAACCCGTGTATCCCTATACAGTAACTTTTTGGCTACCGTTTCTGATTAGAATTCGGGTCATACACTTTAAACAACCAGTAACCAACACAGGAAGAACCTCTATTATAGCGTCATTTGTCCAGCTTAATGAATAGTTAGCTATCCGTACTCATAGCAATGCGAGAGCCAAATAGGTTAGCGTTAAATAGTTGGGCTAATTTGGAAAATCCTACACAGCTTTTTTTGTTTGTGTTAAATGTCACGCCTTCCTATTAAAGAGACTCATTTAGCGTTTGTAGTTGCCTTCGGAACTTTCCTCCCGTACGTGCTAACATCTAATCTACTGAGGTCTCATGAAGGAGTCCGGCAAGCAACGGTACCTTTGTCATGTGGTCGTAGACGCTCGTTTGTTGGCATAAGATAGTTGTTACTCTCTTTAACATACGCGTGGTCGTGGTCAAAACAAGCGTGTCTATGGCCAGGGTAGCTGAATTTTGCTGGGATCACCCTTAGGGGGCGTAGCCGTAAGCAAAGAGAAACAACAATAACGACATTTTTGCTGCAAGTAGCTCCCTCGTACGGGCAAACCCAGGGCGCCCTGGGCGCTGAAGGTAAAGAAGTAGCAATTTCTACCCACACTTTCGTCTTAATACGCTTGTTTCCGAATAACGGAATTGACCAACGCAATATCTGTTTACTGAAGGATTCGATCTTTGTCGGTAAAATGATACATATATAGTAGCGTAATCGTGACGAAGATGAGCTTAACCCTATTACCCGTATTTCTATTACGCTTTGACAAAATCAAGAAAAATCTACGTTTTGTTTAGGATTGCATATTTAGCAATAAACGACCGTCTGGCTTTCGTTTGATGACAGATAATCGATTTGTCCCTTTTGTGGCACAAAACTGAATTCGACACAAAAGAAAAGAAAAACAATTAGAAGTATTCGAAAATAGGACCTTTCGGAACTCGAAAAGAGTTCTCGAAAAGAAGCACATTATGCCTATGTTTTACACCGATACACAGAATAGTCGCTCTGATGGCCCAGGCAGTAAGCCAGCCCCAATAACCCGTTTAATGCGGTGACCATCAAGCTTGTCATAAAGAACAGATGCTACAGTGCGTAAATTTGACAATCAATCAAGGCAGGGATATGTAACATAATACAGTTTATTAAAAATGTTCTACGAAGAGATCCGCTTCTGCACACCTTCTTTCAAACGCATTTATAACATCTAGTCGTTTTTAGAGTTCTCATTCTTAGAGTTAAAGAGGTTTTCCTCTATTCATCTTCTCTGGTAGCAGTCTGTTCTGTCCGGCCCTCTAATTACACTAAATTTGACCAGTAAGCACAAGTCAACAATAGTAATCTTTTTCTACACTTCTCAACTGATCTTTTTCAGTTTATATCTCTGGCCCTACCTCTGAAGTGACCGACACTTAGATGCTGTATTCAAATAGCAGGCCGTTTATTGATTCACCGGAAAAAAACAACACTTCGTATTGATAACCTAGCATAAATATTATAAACAGACACAAATAAAAATAGGTGCCTTTGTCAAGGTTACGCGTCCGTGACGTTTTTCACGCTGGTCAGAATAGCAATTTCGATTTATTGGTACCGTTGTAGTCGCCGCCGTTGATACAAAATCTCTTTACTTTGATAAAATGAAACATGTAAAGAGCTTTTCTGGTGGTGATTTTCCTGTCTACCTTTTAAATCCGATATCAGCTAGGGCAAGGGACATCGAGGATCGCGTTTAGCTGTAGGCGTAAACACCGCGATCCGTTGGCAATATTTAATGGCAATGGGTACGTTTTACCGAAATAAAATCCGTCGAATGGCGTATAATTGATATGTGCGCAGAGTGTAATAGGCGTGTCCATCTTTTTTACATGCGACATAATTTCCTCTAGTTAAAAACGAACGAAAGATGGTTAAACTACATTTGTCATTTAACGATACGGATCGCCACAACACTGCAAAAGAATTGGACTAACATTAAACTATTAGCGGAAGTTAGGTCTTGTCCTGAAAACGATAGGTACAAGTATCAGTTCCAGCTGCTTTTAGTGTCGTACCCATATGTTGTTGATCCTAATTTCTTCCATCTACAGTTTATATGTAGTTGCTGTAAAAAAAAAAACAGATGCGATGGAAGATGATTTACACTATCATTTATATAGTAAGTGTGTTTTTATCATCTAGCGAACGAAGCCACTCTAGCGTGTTAAGGGAAATTTTCAAGAAGATGATCAGACGGTTTGCTCCTATTTCCGAGAAGCTGTCGTCCATGTTTGGCCATTCTAGAAACAGAGCGAGGTGGGGCAATCTTCAAAGCCAATGACGGCGGCAACAGCTGGAGCAATGACAATTTAAATAACTGCAAGGTAAAAGTGACACCTGTAGAAGGTCAAAGCGCCCGGAGACATCTTACGTATATATATGTGATGGCAATCAGAGCTGGTGTTATCGTTGTTACAAGTCGCTGACTGCGTGAACAATTCTCAAGGTGTGCCTCGTGCCAGTAAGCCATGGTCATAGCTTTGGCGACAACGGAACCGAATCGACCTAGCCATTTGGAAGCTTTTCTCTTTAGTATATATATGATTATGGCTGTGTTATACATGATTGTGAAGTGTTTTTCATGGGAGAATAGCGTTCGTTGAAAGCCAACTTATTTGAAGACTGTTTAAAGGTTGTTCTTAGTTTGTCTACACGTTCCGATTTTTCTCGCTTTCAATTTGGCAATACAGTACGTGCTAACTGCGCTCTAATGGATAACCTGCAACAAAAACACGTTTAATCAAAACTAACAAACTGCTAGACTGTCTAGGCAATAGACCCCGTTCTCACGCAGAGCTTCTATTTACTAACTCGTACGTTGCGTGAGCGTATATATACTAGGACGGATTTGAAGCGATGTGAACTTTCATATACACTCTATACATGGACACTTTTGACTATGCGTGTCTATATATGCACGTGCTACTTTTATGGCCTCCCTTTCAGTGTGACTACGCTGGAGGCAAAGATGGGGGGCGGCCCCTTTCTTTGCAGGCTAACCGACATCAACCACTTTTGAAATCCAAGCACTACATTTTCAGTTTATCAGAATTACGAGCTGCGCCTGCGTTGGTGTTACTAGTTTATAATGGCGTTTCAGCGTTACATATACACAAACATACTGTGTATAATCGTACTGTGATCGTTGTGCAACGGGGTGGGGCCTCGGGGAAGGTTATCTTGCGTAAAAAAGGTCCACAAGCCAACGTCTCATTTTATAGAAGTAGCGACGTGACACGCTATGATGAGGCGGCCACCCTACAAATATAGCGCCTACCGACTGCCGGTCAAGACGCATGGCAGAAGATGGGTAGCCGTACCTCTAATTGCGATCAGTGAAGTGTTCCGGGCTACTTGGAGAAGTATCGTAGCTAAAATTACAACTTTGCTAGATACTAGATTGTTAGCTCGTAGCTATATCTAATGCGGTCGAGCAGGTGTTGCAGTTCGTAGTGTACTTTCGATGATGATTCCGCGAAACGTCGAAGAAAAGCAAAAATCAGTTGTTTAGATGGCCTTACGACCTTAACAATTGTCGCACGATGCCGAATGCAGCAAACAACCGAGTGATGAGATGAATACATATAAAATGAGAAGTTACAATGAAGCACATAAACGGTCCGCTACGTATGATTGTGAAATGGGCAAATAAGTACGCGATTTTTGAGTGTGTTACGCAATGCGACAGGGGCATAT